CTTGTGTGTAGACTCTCTGGCTGCTCTGGCTGGAGAGGGTTTATGCTGGCAATCACATGCATTTTCATCTCAGAAATGGAGTAGACTGTGTTGAGTGTGAGGCATTTAATTAAGAAAAAGCATACATCATGACCTTACAGGGACACCATCATCAATGGGTTTACCCCTCTTTCATCCTTCCTGTCCCTCCATTATTAAATAAATATATTTACTGTGTCTTTTTGCCTCAAAAAAAACCCCAAGAATCCTCCTTCCTCCTGAAGAAATGAAATAAAATGCAATAAATACACTTTTGTGGTCATGGATAGTGTCTTTGGTGACTGGTACTGAGCTCAGCCTCCTGCTAAGCATCAAAAAACACCACACATAGTGGAATTTCTCACACAGGTAAAACATTCCATATATCCCTGGTATAGAAAGCCAAAATATTTTGATACTGGAATCACTAACAGAGGGCCCACCTTGGTGAGGTACTGACCTCCTCCATTATCATACAGCAGATGAAAAGTCTGAAATAAAAAACCCTGAGGGTGAACTGGAAATATTTCTGCCTCAGGTCTAGTACATTTTTAATATCAACATAAAGCTCAGTGGTAGACCCTGCCCTTTTCTAAAAGCAGCATTTTCTATTAACACCAAAGGAAAAGAGAAAAGAAGAAAAGACAGCTCCAAAAGGATGCCCTGGATTTGCCCAGCATGTACAACATTTGTGGTCAAATAGCACTCTCAGGACACAGGTGGAAGAAGTGTTGGATAATCTTAAACCTGAAAATATTCTCATGTAGGTTTTTCTAGGAAGGGACATAGGTTGACTCATCTCTCCCTCTTCCCATCTCCTGCAATAACACCAGTTCTGGTTTTCCTTCCTTTCCTATTCCTGGCAAGGTCTCAGCCACCTGCCCTGGCTCTGGGCAGAGGTGGGGACTCATCAAGTCTCAAAAACGCCTGGCAGCAAATTAATTCTCAAGAAGCATCTATGTCTTTTCATATTTGTTTCAGTACACTTCAGAATGAAATATATTTTTTTCAAATATATTACCAGTATAAATTATCTTTTCTTCATTTTGAAAAACTGATTTTTCCTCCTCCACAGCTGGTTTAGAATTATATCACTCTGTGTCCTGGTTTTATTTCTGATAATAGTTCACAATATTTTGACTAATATTAGCATGCCAAAAAAAGCAGCTGAAATAGTCTTTTGTTTTTATTTTGAAAACTAGTCTGACAGTGACTGGCTGGCACATATAATTTCCTTTACTAGAAAACAGTATCTCTTAGACATGCTGGTAAATACCACAGCTTAACACAATTGCACATGTTGTTAATAACAGCAATGCACAGTGATAGGAAGTGATGCAAAAAATCATAAAAATAAATACAGCTCCAAAACGAACTTTGAGAAGTTTTTCAATTCACAGTTATTTCCCTCATGGGAAATGATGTAAAAATAAATACATTTTTTTATACTCAATGTCTATTGTGGTGAGACACTTCCTATTGGATCGGAATGACGATCCCAGAAGGGAGCTGAGCTAGATGTCCCACAGTGCCAGTCATGGGCTGCCTTCCTCAGGAGCTGCCAAGCTCTGCCAAGAGCCTGACTGCTCCAAGCCCAGCTGCCTTGGTGAGCAGCAAGAAGGAAAACCCAGGGGAGCTTTCCAAAAGCCCTAGCTCGATTTATAACCTTCTTCCTCCTCTTACAGTGCCCTGAGGCTGGGCTTATGGAGACGAAACTGCAGTAATGACTGCTCTACCATCTGTGTAGATGAATTCTCCCTTCTCTCTACTCCCATTTTTTTGATGGACAATACCTGCCTATCCCTGTCCTCAAGGTAAGAAGCTCCAATGTTGAACTAAACTGCCGTGAGAGGAAGCCAGTGAACAGAGATATTCCACAGTTATCACGGGGCACTAGTTAGAGGGAGTTTTTGGACCAGTTTTGAATGATCTAGAGATGGGACCTCTGAGTTGTTTTTGATGATGCGATTTATTTTTTTATCTTCTACATAGACAGGAAGGGTGAGATCAGCTCACACCTTTACTACACGGTTCAGAAGGTCACAAAACCTCTTGTTACAAGACCTTTTAAGGCTTTCTTGACCAATAAAACACTACCAACAAGGACATTTATGTTTTTGACCTAATCCTTAAATATTTTGTCTCATGGACTCATGCTACAATGTAAGCTTTCTTAGCCAATCATGCTATGATACACAAGCCTACAGTACTGCATTCTGAACTTCTTGTTTACCTTTTTAACTTTTTTTCTTTCATACATCTTAAGCTCTAAAACTCCAGACTTTTTTCTTCTTAACTTAACGTGTCTCTGCTTTAAACCACAAATCCACATTCTTGCTTCTAGTACTCAAGTTCAGAAGCCTCTTCCAAGGTCTCAGATCAAATCCTGTGTTTAATTCTAAGCTTTAACCTACAGGCCCAAAGTTCTGAGAATTTCTTGCATTTCAGATTCCAACAATCTGGTACCTCCAACCTTCCACACATTCTAGGAACGAGAAGTGCCCCCCTTCCCCTCTGTTCCACCCATGTTCACTGCGGTGTATAAGATCTCAGTGTATAAGTGTACTCAGTGTATAAGATCTCAGGCACCTTTTCCATAGAAACACCTCTGCTGTTTATCTAAGAGGTGTACTTCCCCACTTCAGCTGGAACAGCTTCTCCAACATTATCCAGCCACTGGTCTCCTCCAGGCATCTTTGTGTGTCAACATGAGCTGCGTTTTAGTTACACTCCTGATAAACTTCTATAAAGAACTTGAGACTATAAAAAGCTGACCCTTATCTCTAAGAAACTTAAGACCATGTAACCTGTCCTCTCAAACTAAACCTATCATATTTCACCTGCACCTCAGCTGATGTGGAAACCATGCCTTGCTGGGGAGAAATGCTGGATCTCATGGGAGCAATCCTTATCCCAGATCCAGCATATGATGCCTGAGGTAATCCATTCCAGCCAATTAAAGCCATATCATGAGCATGGCTCTTCAGCAAGGTTAAACGTCATCCAGCTTTGTTTTTGGAACAGAAATTTGGTCTTTCCATAAGCAGTACTGCCCCTCCAAGATGAGCACATGGTGTGTTCCCTGTGGGAGGGCCTTGCCTGCTCTCAGGCAGCACGGTCCTTTGGCCTTCTACAAACACAAAGACTTATAAACCCTTGGATTAAAATAGCACTTCAACACTGACATTTACATCTAGTTAAATGTTTGCAAGGAGCAATCATAGCTTTGGGGCTGCAAGGCAAAATAATTAAAAACACAAGAGGAGGAGCAAACACTCTCAATTTCCTGTTGTGGAAGCTCCTCGTTCCCTGATCACCTCTGCTTCCTTTATCCTCTAAACTTTTTCCAGTTTGCCTTCACTGGTTTTGAACTGATGATTGGATGTGAAAAGAAATTATTCTTCCCAATAAAATACAGGGTTTATATCTAGGAAGATCTGAGTTCCTCAAATATTTGTTTGAGGGTGGAAGGGCTGAACGCTTCCATGCTAAAACCCAGGCCCGGGCCCAGGCAAAACACAACACTTTCCTAATATAGCAACAGAATCTTTTTGATAATCTGAACAGCTACTGCATTGCAAGTGGGGGTGCCCTGAGTGGACAGTGGCTCACAGACAAACCTGTGCTCCCTCATCTGCAAAGCCAAGATGGGGTAAAAAATATCTGGGGCTGGCAGAGATCCTTCTCTGGGAGCAATCACAACCTGCTCTCCTGGGACTGTCACAGAAGCAAACGGATGCCCCTGTCTTAACACCAGGGCTCACAGTCTGCCCTGGTCCAGGAAGGGGAAATAGCAGCACAATTGCAAAAATAAACCCCTGGGAAAAAGCTGTTCAGTCCTCTGAGCTCAAAGAGGTTGGAAAAGAATTTCTTGTCAAAATACAAGCAGGACAGTAATTCCACATTGATTAAATAAGAGAGGAACACCCTGAAAGGAAAAGCTAGAGACTTTCCCTCTTCACCATGTCTGCAGACCTGGATCCCCAACCAGAGACTGCACACTGGGTCTCTCAGGGTGTGCTCTCAGGGTGCATGTCTCTAATTTACTCTTTTTCCTGTTTCTGATTGGAGGGAATATCTGGGTCATGGCCATAATAAAATGGAATCATACAATTGTTTAGATTGGAAAAGACCTCCAAGATCAGCAAATCAAACTGTTTACCCAGCACTGCCAACTCCTTCACTAAACCATGTCCTTAAATGCCACATCTACACATCTGTTAAAAGCACCTCCAGAGATGGTGACTCCACCACTGCCATGGGCAGCCCATTCCTATACTTGACAACCCTTTATGTGAAGGAATTTTTCCTAATATCCAATCTAAACTTCCCCTGAAGTATCAAGGCCATTTCTTCTTGTCCTGTTGCTTGTTACCTGAGAGAAAAGACTGACCCCCACCTAACTACAGCTTCCTTTCAGGTACTTTTAGAAAACAATAAGGTCTCCTCCGAGCCTCCTCTTCTCCAGGTTAAACACTCCCCAGCTCCCTGAGCTGCTCTTTATAAGACTTGTGCTCTAGACCCTTCACCAGCTTATTTTCCTTTCTCTGGACATGCTCCAACATCTCAAAGTCTTTCTTGTGAGGAGCTCAAAATTGAACACAGAATTTGAGATGCACCAGTACATTTCACCATCCAAAGACTGCATTGGACCTTTGCACTGTGCATTGCTCATCCAGCCACTCCTGCAAAAGATTCCTGTAAAAAAACCACCAAAACCCAACCTCCCCAAGGAAGTCATGTGTCACTACAGAGCACAAACTCTGTAGCTGGTCCTGTTGCAGACATGCCCCCATTCACTGGCACCCAGTCTGCAGCACTCCTCCAAGGCAATATGAAATGCAGGAAAAGGAAAGGAAGTGTATCTTCCCCCACCTGCTCTGGGCCAGACATGCTCCCAAACAGGAGCTCAGGGACTTGCACATGTGCTGTATCTACATTCCTTTGCTCCCATGACAATGGCATTACCAGACCACACTCACCTTTGAATTTCTTCTTTCCAAATTTTAATCCAAACAGAGACATCCCAAAACTTTATTTTAGTCCAACTCCATGAAACTTCTGCAAGAGAAAAGAGAAGGCAATTCACAACACATAGAGCAGCACATACATGTCATTCTATGCCAAATAAATGGGGGAAACAAATTCCTAAGCACTGTGGCCAGCAGCCACAGTTTATCATCTAGAATGCATTAAAAAACAAAACAATCCTAAGTTTTCAGGTTGCACTGCATCAGTGGGCTACCTTACCTGGGGCATGCTGGTCAATTCATCTCCTGACATGGCACAAAGAAGGGGCCAGTGGAGGAGAAATTGAAAAGGACATTCCCACTACATTGGTGCTATGTGAAAATGAGAAATACACACCCAGAGCTTGTTCTTAAGGTACGGAGGAACTGCGTGCCTACCCAGAGCAAGACCAGCCTCCTTGAAGAGGAGGAAGCAGCGGGAAGCACTGGTTTCCTGTAAATCTGCCTCTGCTCAGCACATGCTGGCTCACACTGTTATCCATTGCTGGTCATCCTGCATGTTTGGAGCAGACTAGAATTAAATTTCTCCTCCACTGGCTGCAAACTGCCTGGCCCAGAAGCTAAGGCCAGGCACCAGAAATGCATTTAAGGTGCTGAATATATCCTGATGGGTAGAGGAATTCAAAATTTTAAAACTCACATCCAAACTGGCTGGTAGTGAAATTTTCAATCATCAGACAAGTTTATTTAAAGGATTTGAAGGTGATGTTGGTGCTGACAACCTAAAGGATCTGTGAACATGAGAAAAGCTGGCATTGCTCTGTGACCAGGAGCCTGAATCAACAGGAACACTGAAGCAGTTGCTTAAGTGGTCAGTGAGGCAAGCTGAGACACTTGAGAGAGTCACAGTCTATCTAGAACAAGCTTTCTAGGTAACAGAACGTAGTTTTTCAATGCTATCTGTGCAGAGCCAGGGTGCCTAAGGAGACAGGAATAGCAAATATGTCATATTTTAGAAACACACATATGAGAACACAGCCTATGCCACTGCCCGAATGCAAGCCTGATACAACATCACCAGTGCAAGCTTGGACTTCATGTGTTTGCAGAAAAAAAAAAAGGTAAGCTTTAAGGAAAATTCTACAATCCTTGCATATGCCAAACTTGTGCTCCAGATACTCCAGCAAAGCTATATTTAGCAGTTGCATTTGCATGCATCTGAATTCAGTGAGGGGTTTGGGAGCCTCTCTGTGCCCACTCTATGTGGAAGATGTCCTTTCTCTATTCACTCATCCATCCAATTATTTCTGCTCATCATGACAAATGTTTGGTACCACCTCTCCCCAGAACTTCTCTGTTCATGAAGCCAAACCAGTTAAAGTTAAAATATGCAATGTCACAACCTAAAGCTTTCTTGACCCTGCTGACCAAACTTACTTTCCATCCCTGACCTCAGTCTATCACTTTCAACATATTTCTTCCATGGTTTAGAATTACTATTATGTCTTACAAAACCCTACCAACAAGGACAGAGAGTTCCCCATAAGAGGGTGGGAAGAGAGAGACACTCCCCACACACATAGAGGTAAAAACTCCGATTTCCTAAAGCACCAGGGGTCACAGATCTGCTAATCACTGATCTGGTAATCCTGGCAGCACAAGGATGTCTGTAATCAAAATATTGATGATTACATGATCCATATGAACTCTGGATGTTGCTGTATTTGCAAAACATTTCAGAAAAACAAAAGTCACTCCTCACTGTCAGCACAAATATGCAAAAGGTTAACTGGTTATAATCATCATATTGATGATTACATGACCCATATGAACCCTGGATCTTCATGTATTTTCCAAACTTTTTAGAAAAACAATCCCCAGCTACCAAACCTCTCCCAGCTGTGTACTCAATTGACAAGGCATATAATTTCAGCAGAGGGTGAAAAAAGGATGTTTATATTTTTGGGGAGCAACGAACTAAGGTGGTTCTTTTATCAGTAGTAACATGAAACAAACAATAGACTTTCACATCTTCCAAACAAAAACCTGAAACTTCCTTCAGCTCTGACACATGGCTTTTGTTAATTGCTGTGATTCTTTGAACCCTGGTTTCTGGTGGGACTGCAGCATGACAAGACTGAAACAATACAGTGTTTTGATATGGAAAGCATGTAGTTCCCACAGCTTCTCAGTGAATTAAATCAGCATTGCATGCATTGAACGTCTTCATTCAGCAGTAAATTTAAGTTACCATCATGGCAGCACAAATACCCTTATAGGTTTTCAATTCCCACAAAACTTTGCTAACTTTGCCACATCCATTTGTACCAATTTCCTCTCCAATACGTCATTGCCACCACACAGACTTGGCATACTTGCTCACTTAGTTAAATCCCAGGAGTTATGTATGAATCCTACCCAAGCTGACCTGATCCTCTAGGCAAAACTCAGTTCCTGACTTGCCCCAACCACAATGTCATTTGAAAATGTGTCAGTGTTCAATGGGCACACAGATGATGGCATTAAGGGCTGGACACACCCCTATTGCATTGAGGTGTACCCTTTATTTTCATAATATTGCAAATATCTTCCTTTACTGCTTTGTTATTGACTCACACATCTAATCCCCATACTTCTTTACAGGGAAAGCCACTCTTAGGAAGGCTGTAGCTTCTGTGCAAGGCTGCCTGCTCACACCCCCTCTGTGACAGTGCAGTCACACTTCCTTCCATGTGTCTGTTTTCAGTCTGAGAGTTCGTTGACCACCAGCTGCCAGTGTGAAAAGAAACACAAGTAAGTAATGGTGAAGTTGTCCCCTTTGGTGGAGCAACAGGTACTGCTCCCATTTGTCTCACTTATCACAGCTTGTGCAGACAGATGTGCTCTCTTGGCTGACCTTAGCTCTTCCTGCCTTTCAGCCCCAGGTCTTTTTTCTTGGGTTATTTTAGACTCTCAATTCTACCTGCGCGATCCAACATCTTTGCACTTGTATTTATCAACAACGTCCCTCAGGGTATTTTTTTTCCCCCACAGATTTCACATGTAATCAAAATTCATGCCCCTGTTCAGTTTTCTTTATTTTCCTGGTTTTTAAATCTGAGATTCAGTTTCTGTTCCAAACATGCAATGACGGGTCATCAGCCTCCTATCACTCACATCTATTTTTAATTACAGTTTTAATTTCTCTTTATGCTTTCCAGGGGAAAAAAAAATTATCAGGGGGAAAAAGGTTATCTCATATTTCATTTGTTGTGTGGCATTAAGTACTTCTCAAATTTTGGTAGGACAATTTCATAGCCTCATTTTCCTGAATTAATTAGAAACACATAAACACTCAAAAAACATTCTACAGTCAGAAAAAAAGGCAATTTCCTGTTTGAGTTAATTTTTCCTAGCACCAGCTATGGTCAGACAAAGTGAAGTGCTGCTTCAGTCTTCTCTATTTGTTTTCCACAGTCTGTGTCAGCCCTTCTGGATTCTTTGTTGTTGTTGTTCCATTTTCCACTTGATTATTTTTGGATTTTCTTCATTTCTTTTTACCCCAGGTACACTGCATTGTCAGTAATCAACTGGGTTCTCAGAGTATTTGAGCACTCATGCAGGTCCCCTCAGCTTAACAGGACACGTTTTGCTTCCCCATGTTTTCAGGACCTATAGCAGAAATTATTTAAAGTTCAAATTCCCAATTCTTACAGGGAATTTGGGGTATAAGCTACAAATAAATTATCCCTTCTCACCACAGAAAACTGTTGTACCTACAGGACTCTATGAACTGTCTCTCTGCTGCTTACACATCTGCAAAGACAATCCACCTGCTTTATGGCAACTGACTGTTTGATCAAGGGCTCTGGGTATTTCAATAGCCACAAAGAGAAGCTGCTTTGACCGGTCTTGAATAGGGAAGTGATGTTTCCTCACAAACCAAATTATGCCTCATTTAAGAGAGACAGAAGCGAGGTGGGTCAAGGTAATCCCAAGTACAGGCTGAGCAGAGAATGGTTTGAAAGCAGACCAGAGGAGAAGGGCTTGGGGGAGCTGCTGGGAAGCTCAACATGAGCTGGCTGTGTGCACTCTGCCCAGAGAGCCAAACATGTCCTGGGCTGCATCCAGAGCCCTGTGGGCAGCAGGGCAGGGAGGGGATTCTGCCCCTCTGCTCTGCTCTGCTCAGACCCACCTGGAGCACTGCATCCAGAGCTGGGCTCCCAGCACGGGAGGGACAGGGACCTGCTGGAGTCAGCACGGAGGGGAGGCTGCTAAGATAATCAGAGGGATGGAGCACCTTGGCTGTGGAGACAGGCTGAGAGAGTGGGGGTTGTTTACCCTGGAGAAGGGAAGGCTTTGGTGGGATCTTAGAGCAAATTTCAATACTTTGGCTACAAGAGAGCTTGAGAGAAACTTTCAGCAAGACATGTAATGCCAGGACAAGGGTGAATGGCTTCAAACGGAAAGAGAGTAGGCTTATATTAGATATTACAAAGAAATTCTTTACTGGGAGGGTGATGAGACACTGGCACAGGCTGCCCAGAGAAGCCGTGGGTGCCCCATCTCTGGAAGTGCTCATGGCCAAGCTGGATGGGGCTCTGAGCAACGTGGTCTAGTGAAAGGTGCTCCTGGCCATGGAAGGGGAGTTGGAACAGGATGATATTTAAGGTCCTTTCCAACATAAACCATTCCACAATTCAATGATTTGGCTTGAAAACACAACTGCAAATCTCCTCCTGCAAGACGGTTAAGTTGCAACGAGCTACAGCCTGTGGGATTTGCAAAGGTTCACTGGGGGCTGTACTGCAAACTGGAGGAGGAGGGAGGCATTTCCCACCACTGCAGCCTTGAGTGGCAAAATGACAAAAGACATGGCACAAGCTGGATGAATGCAGAGCAGATGTTGTGGATGGAAAACATGTCTTGTTTCTTGGCCCTGTTTCTCTGGACAGAGCTATATGATACATCAGATTCAATGATAAATATGAATTAGAATATACTTGGTGCCTCTGTTCCTATCACTTCATTCCCAGACTCTGTGAAGTGATCCATGTTAAATAGAATCATTTTTGGAAGGGTTATTTTAATCCAGATCATGGGGTGTAGTTCAGTGCAGGCTGAAATTCCTGCCCAAGCAGTGGTCATATCAGATCTGAGGGGGCAGTGAATTGTGGTGAAGTATGAGAAGCAAGCCCCCAGAAATGAGGAGAATTAGTCAGAAGAACAAGATTTCTCCAGTCAGTTTTGCCACCAAATATCCTTTGGTATGTATACACACAAAGAACTTTGAACAGCCCTGTCCAGGTACAAATTCAGAAAGCGTATCATGCCTCCACCCACCTTTTCAGGTCAGGTCAGGTTTTGCACAAAAGCTTGGGTTTTTTTAAATTTCTGTTTAGATGATGTAATGATCACAAATACCCACTGATCTTAGAATTCTATTATTTTTCATGCTAAAGTACTAAATTTCCAACCAATAACTCAACATATGAGAAAATAGATCCCAGGCACTCACCATCATGACAAAAAAGGTTGAAAACTTCTTTTCACCACTCATTGCTCTTGGCGGAGTAATAATGTTAAATACGAGATCTCAGTCTGTAAATTTTGAACATGTATCACTTTACACTGGATTTGGAGGCACATCTGAGAAAATACTAAGGATTTAAAATACATCAGGTCCTCAACCTCCCTGTTTTATCCATGCCCTTGTTGCCACAAGTCATATGCTGGAGCTGGACAGTGACAATCACTCACAGGTATTGCAAAAGGAGGACATCACAGTGCAGTGTTTGCCAAGGCTCTGGTAAGAGCAGCATTAAGGCCTGGCACACCTGGCACAAACTGACCTTCCCATGTGCCACACAAAGGCGTGTTTGCCAAGGGGCCCCTTTGAACTGAAGCTGTACTAGCTGTTTCAGTCCAATTTGTCAAATTTTGGTTCCAAAAAGAGCAATGCATTTGCATTTCCTTACCAAAAGCAGATGCAAAAATTTCAGCCATTAGAAGTAATTAGTAATAATAATCTTTCAGCACTGAACTACATTACTATTTGCATTTCTCCACCCCTCCTTATATCCTCTTGTGTTTGAATACCTCAAGAGCAAAACAGGGAATAGCATGTGTTGTACCACTCCCTGCTTTGCAAACACAGAAAGCGAGCTGCAGAGTGGACAACCAAAATGTGTGTTTTGAATCCAAAAACTACTCTTTTTCAGGACTGAAATCTGATTTGGCACAATTACAACCTGGAATAACTTTAAGACGCTGTAAGTGGTCACTCCTGTCATCAGGGTTTACAAAAGTAGTGTAGCCTCTGGTTTAAATCTACTGACTCGGTGCGAAGGGTTTGAAAGTATCCCTGAAACCTCCCTGCTTTTTCCACACCTGAAGAGGTATCATGGGTGAGGTGAGCCAGCCCTACAGTTATTTTCTGGTGCTGTTCCAATCTATATATACAGAAACCCATGAAACTCTGCACTCCCACCCCTACACTCCAATGTACCAGTGCAATTAGCTGTAATTGCTGGGAAACAGGCTCAGTCTGTTATCTGCCACGTCTTAAAGTAATGATCCAACATCCTCCATCTGTCTTCATTAAAACACTCTTTAAACTGACACCAGGATGGCAGTCAAAAAACTGCATTCAGCTCCTCTGGGCAAGTTAGTTGCGAGGACGCTCAAGTTACGGATCAACAGCTGTGGCGGAGCGGGTTCCCGAAGAGAAACGCAGTCTGATCCCTCTGAAACAAACAATAGCAGCTTCCCCGGGCGGCTGCTGCTGCCGCTGCTGCTTGGAATCATGCACAGCTCAGCTCACTCCACCCAGACGTCTCTCAGCTCACCCCTAGGAAAAGCTCAACCCCCGAGCGCTTTGATTAAGCTTCGCAAAACTCTTGGGTCTGAAAAAAAAAAAACAAAAAACCCACAACCCACAAGTTTCTGTCCCCCCACCACCCCGAAACTGGCAGGAGAAACAAGAGAGGGGAAGGAAAGCGTTAAATCTTACCCTTGAAGGCTTATAAAAGTCACAGCAACAAAGTTGCTGCCCTCCATAGCACTCCGGTACACTCCTGTCTTCTCATTTACACGCAGCTTTATCCCCTCCCAAGACCGACGGCTTGGCTCGCCGTCGCAGCGCCAGGACATTCACCTAAGGACGCAAACCTTATCTGCGCTGTGAGATGGGCATCGCGTGTCCTCTCCGACACCCTCAAAATCCGCCGCTGACTCGCTCTGACATACAATGTCCCGGCAACTACACTTACTCCAAGTTCCCTACTTCTTACTTCAGTCACTGGGCTTGGCTCCTTGCCAATTTTTTTTTTTCTTTTCCTCCCCTTTTCTTTTTTTATATTCTGTTTCCTGTAGGGAGGGAGAGAGTAGTAGCTCCCTTAAAAATAAAATGCTTCAGTGCTACAAACTGTGAAACAGTAAAGAAGAAAAGCACAGCATCTAGGCTTGGGGAACCCCAATTAACTCCAGAGGCAGCAGCTGCTTGCTTTACCTACCTCCTGCCGACGCGGAAGCTTTCAAAAAGAAAGCAAGCGAGTAAAAGAGTCCAACATATCAAATGGCTTTCAAAAAGGATGAACTTGGGAAGGGATCCATTTCTCAGCAGCAGCCCCTCTCTCTGTGTCCGTAACACTGGAGTTGGTCAGGGCTCCTTAAACCCAGAGACACAGTCCTACAAGCTGATCCCAAGGCTCCACCTCACCCACTTTCCAAAGTTGTGAGTAGCAAAAACTCTGCAGAGAAAAGCCTCATAGAGCACAATTGCATAACTCAACCACAGAGCTTCCTCCAGCCAGCCAGAGGATTGCTTCGGCGCTGAATTGCTTGCTCATCCCGAGAGCATGACCTTCCCTTGCCCTCTGGGACACCTGCCTGACCACACTGTGATCATAGGGACCCTCCTGACCAGGACTCCCCAGCACTCCCATGAGCCTTCCAACCTTCTCACCCCATTTTCCCACTTCAACAAACAAAACATTCACTTTTTTTCCCAAGTTGTGGGACCTTTCACAATGAAGTGCCCTCCAATATGCCAGTCCCCTGGCATTTTACCTGCCAGCTGCTCTAATCTTCCTGACCAAAACTGAGGCAACTACAACTTTAATCCGCTTCTAGCTTCCCTATACCTGTGAATTGAAATTATTTTTAAAGCACCATATTCTTTACATAGTCATGTTCACAGCAATGCCTGCCAGGAACATCTCCGTTGTATTGTGACAACACAACAAACTTTAGCATTTCTATGTGTACTTGTGCCTGAGTTTTTCTACAGGGCAATTCATGAACACTGTTAAAATTAATTTCATACCTACCCACTTGAATGCATTAATCAGCTGATTAATTATAGTAACACAAGAGTCAAGGCTTTGCCAAAGAGTATTTTCTACAAAATTAAATCTTCTATAGTCAAGAGGATAGGTATGGAGGACTCTGGAAGCTACATTGGTAGTACTCCAGTGCTGGTCATGAAGGTTGAGGAACAGAGCGACAATGAAGAGGACACTCTTAACACCAGAAGCAGTTTCTGAAAGAAAAATAGTCTGTGCCCTTTGCTACGACTTCAGGGATATTCCAAGCTACACCAATATAAGACAGTTCTCACTGAATTGGCTTCCTAGTTTGAACACACATACAACAGCCAACATGGGACGTGGCACACAGGACTGATCTCCTGAAGATCCAGGTCGTTTTCAGGTGACTATGACCTTGACAGCATCTAGCTGGAGAAGACATTCCCCTTGCACTAGCCATTTTTCATTTTCTTGCCACCCACACCTCATTTCAACAGCAACAGCCCAAGTATCACAATTTTTCCTGCAAGCAAAAGTACAAGGATCTGGATTAATTTTGGTCCTTCTACATATTTAGAGAACCCCTTGGTTTTGCCTCATTCTGGAGTCTTGCTCCTTATTATAACTTTCATCTGCTTTTCTTCATGACATTTTAATATGTTAGTTGATTACGAGTCATTCTACACGACTCCTACTTTCTTTGCTGCTGTCTTTATACTTGCTTGTTACCACTTTGGCCTCAGCCACAGTAGTTTCTTCTTTCCTAGAGTTAGGTTTGTCTCCTTCAACACACAAGTGGAACCAGCCATAAAGTCACCCAGCTTTGGGTCTTGTTTAGACTTTAAAGTTGCTAAGAGTTTAGAAGGCTATTTTATGATTTTTTTCTTGGCACTGAAAATCCATCTCACATACATTGGACATGACTTTTTCCCTCAGCTATGCTTTCCTTATGGACTCCAGTGAACCTCCTCATGCAGGGAAGCTTAACACGCATGGAAGCACTCGGAAGAGCAGGCATGACTCAGGGTTATGAACTCAACTCTGGGTTCTCTTGTCCTTGCCTTACACTTTGTTCCCTGGATAGCATCTTCACAATCACCACACAATTTGTATCCTCCTTTCCAGATTTCCAAACATGTCAGAGAGTGCTGCTGCCTGCAGTGGCACTTGTAGAAATTTCAGTTCCTGTATAAAGGGTGTACCCATTTGTTGTCTGTCTGAGTGTCCCCTGAAGCCAGCATGGTTTGGGCAGAGATTCAGCTGGACAGATGCAACCGAGCAGCCATCGCTTGCCGTGATCCACAGTGGTGGGAAGAAGTTAAATCTGTAGCTTTTTCAGTAAACAAGCTGTCTTCCTGGCCAAGCAGCCTCCTCCATACCATGCCCCTTCACCTTTGAATCCTCCACTTTCCCAATGCCCACTAGTCATAGAGGGCTAACTAGGGTGGGATGGATTTAAATTCATGCCATTAAGACCTTATCCACTGACTTTATCTGGGAAAGTGGATACAGTCCTCCAGCCTCTGCATCATTTCAGCTGTGATCAAGATGCAGAACTGAAGCCTCAGTAACACTGTTTTAAAGGGTGCTCTCAGCCCACTGTCCAGATTAGATTTGGTCTTCCTTCAAACAGCAAAGCTGATAGAGCAGAGGACCTTCTCTGGAGCACCCAGAACCCAAAGGTGTCTGGTGACCTAGTAACAGGTGAATGCCTTGAACGTCTTACTATGCCCTTGGGTAACTGGAGCAAACTACAGGATAGGAGAGAAACAAAAGAGAAGCACACCCTGGAGCATCCCACAATGTAGACTTAAACCAAATGCCAGTCCTTGAGAGAATCTCTCCCTGTGATATGCAATTTTTAAAATTACTGATGCTCATCTTGATGCTTTTTCAATGATCCAATATATTTCAAAAGGGGCACTGATGGTGTTTGCTTTCCCTTACTCTCTTATAGCTGCACTCTGACACTGCTGAACTGCAAGGTTTGAAGCTTGACCTGCTCTGCCACGGCTGGTACCACTCTGAGATGAGTGATGGTACCACACTCTGATGAGCCATGCTGGGCTCATCCCCCAAGCCCAGAACTGATGCAATCTCCAGGGATCACTTCCACCCACCCAACATCATCTCCCTCTCCCAGAACAGCACAAGTGCATTGCTCAGTTCCTAACCATGCCAGTCACTGTTCCAGAAAAACCTTTCTACACAGCTCTGGAGGGCTTCCTCACAAACCCCCAAGGGTTAGCCTTAGAAGACTGAATCACCTCCCACAGCCTATGCTTCCCTTATCCCAACTTTCCCCACAAGTCCAGACCAGGGAAGGAGCTCCTTGTGTAGGGGAGGGATAAGTAGCCCACTTCACTGTGGGGAACCTGAAACATCTGTTATTATGAGCACCTGCAATGGGTCCAAGTGGTCAGATGGCTTTCCAACAGGAGACTTTCTGTATCCTCTTCTTGTCAAAAGTCAGAGTAGGATGCATGAGAAATACAGGACTGAAAGGAACAAACCAGGACATTATTGTCCACTCCTCAGCTATGAGAGAACTAGTTTAAAAATAGATTGTAAGGAGAATATCCAAGTTGTAAATTGCTGTAGTCCAGGAAATACCAGCACAATTATAAGGTGAATAACAAAATACCAAGGACTCCAAAATAAGCTGTATAATACATAAAGCAGCAGTGTCCTTGATCCCTGTGGAGGATCCTACTGGTAGAATGCACACCACAACTCTGCAGAGGAAGGGAAAACTAAATCCTACTGTTGTTATCATGACCTGCCTGTGGGTGGAAAATGAAACAGGAGAGGAAGGTAATGTCATGAAGTGACCAGTTGTTCTAGGGCTGTCCTTGTCTTTTGGGAGCTACTCTGCTCAACTCATTTTATCACTCCTCCAAGGAATTCCAAATTAACACAATTTGAAGGGATGCTCTGGATTCCTACCTCTGTATCCATCTCTCTGGATATAATCTGAGGTGCAGCTCTAGCACTGCAGGTTCATACAGAAGTATTCCCATACTTCACCAGATACTCCAGAAGCTGTGAGCTGTCCCAGTGCACACTGCATGGAAATGGTCAGAAAATAGCTTCTCTGAGTGTGTGTGGAATAACCTGAATCATACTGATCAGGATACGGTAGTGTGCCACTTACCTTCAGCAGGGAAGGATGAGTGTGTGGCTAGAGATTCCTTTTCTCCACCAACACCCCTTGCACAGTATTCCAAACCCTTAACAAAAAATGGCCAGCTAAGAAAAATAGTGACAAATTTTAAAAAAAGAGCCCAGACTCTTTTATTTAAAAAGAAAGCAACAACTTGTTCTGACAACTGTTGATCTCATCTTCCTGGCACCAACCCCTGCAAATGTGATACCATCTGATGTTTTAAAACAGAAATTGAAATAATGTCTCTCAGGTGTTGCCTTTGCAGCCCTTAGGAGATAGAGCAGAGCTGAAAACCTTTTCGTTGAAAAACCAGGGTTTCAGATGCTCAGATTACACTGAAGAGCAGAAAAAAGTGCAGAAGAAAACAAATTCTGCAAGGAACAAAGCTCAAGACTACCTCATTTCTGAGTCCAGTTCCCACCAGATTTGGATCTTGTGTTTACAAACTTCCTCCTGGCCAAAAATTTCACTGCTCTGGGAAGAAAGATGCTGTTTCAAGGAGAGAAGTCTCCTGAGTACCTGAAATATTCTCTGTGATCCTGTGAGAAACTGAATGATTTGATGGACACAGATATTGGAAGGAGCTGATGGAGATCTTCTGTCTCAGTATTACATTCCTGCAATAAAAATCTGTGTCTCTGCCTTTGCCCATGACACTGCATGTGCCCGGCTGCACTGGCAAAGCCGGGGATTAATCAGCTGCAGCAGCAAACCCCAGAGGTGTCCACACTTCGTTTAACACGTGTTTCC